TGACTTTTCTAAACAAAAGTATGAAAGATAACAATAGAAATAAAATTGATACTTCCTTATTGATTTAATCCATTATTTTTCTTTCTGTTCTTTCTAAATAAAGCTTTATTGTTGTTCAATATTTTTTAAACTAGCGTTTCGTATTTTGACATTATTTATATTATTCAATGGTGTAACATTTAAACTAATATTAAAGCTTAGAAATTAGATCATGAACAATTAGAGAAACAATTGATAACTAATATAAATAATTGACAGGTAATATTATCCAACAAGGCTTAAATTTAAAAGTGACCATTCTTCAATTCAATAAAAAAAAAAAAAATTTGTACGAACAAAATAAATTGAAATCCCATAAAAATTTATAAATAAATTGAAATGATGTTTTTAAAGAATCCGATTGGTTCGGGTTGATTTTATGTTCAATTTTTCAAAAAAAAAAAAAAAAGGATTTTTAGAAATTTTCAATTTTATATAAAAATGAATTTAAGAAAACAAATACCTTAAAATCAAATTAAAAAATCAATTTGAGTTGATTTGATTTTTTTGATTTGACAGGAAATATGCCACCTCTAACTGCTCAACTAAAAAATTATTCCCATCTTCCTATCAAAAGACGTTTATATTTCTTTTTTAACTCATCCAAAGTTATAATCATAAGTTCCAGATTAGTAGAAGAAATTGTTATAGTTTTTTTATTTTATCCTTATATAATATAATGTATATCTCTATTGATAAATAAACATCTATTATCATTAATCAATTTTTTAAATGATAATATTTATTCATTTTTGTTAGTCAATTCTTTAACTTTAATTACTATGACTTTTAAAATATATATATTTTAATTAATTTTAAGAATAATTTAATATTTTTATTTAATTTTAATGATGTAAAATAAATTTATTTAATATTACAGTAAATAAGATTATTTAATATTCCCTCCGTTTCACTTACTAACAACAAATAAGCATTTTATCTTGTTCCACATTAAGTGTTCATTTATGATTTTAAGACTATATTAATTTTTTTTGCAATTTTACCTATATTTATTATGTGTAATTTATTTTTATAAGCCCTCCGTTACACTTTAACAGCAATATTTGAGATTTTCACAAGGATTAAGAAAATGATTAGAACATATTAATTTTCTAAAATCATATCGTTGAATATCTAAATTTGCCTTCTTAAAATTAAAAGCTCCTCGTTTAATTTTGCTTCAAAACACCTAATAAATATAAATAAAATTGAAAAGCATATAATTAACAGACGCTCACAATCCTAAATCAGTACTTAAAGTTGAACAAGGTAAAATGTTCATTCTTTGCTATTATAGCGGAACGGATGTAGTATTTACATTTAATAAGAGTAATTTTAACATTCTACCATATATTTTTAAAAAATCAATGAATTTCAATCATTTTCTTAATTTTTGTAAAAAAAATAAATATTGCTATTAAAGTAGTACGCAGCGAGTATCACCATAAGGATATATTAAAAAAATATTAATTATACTCTTTTCACACGTGTGAAAGTTAAGGTGGACAAAATATTTTACTTTTTTATTCATTAAGAGGCAGTAGCGGAACCGGAAAAATAATTAGACGATTGAAAAAAAATTTTCAAAATTTAGAGGGGGTGATATCGAAAAAAAAAACACTATTCTATAGATAAAAAGTAAAATTTTCTATATTTGAGGTAAATTTAAAAAAATTAAAATTAAAAGACGGCCGTCACCGCCGGCCACCTCTAATTCCTTCATTATTAGGAAGTCTAACAAGATGAAAAAATATTATAGATTATCCAATAAAAGTTAATACTCTTTATTCGCTACTTTGGTGAGAATTTTTATAATTGAAAAATCTCAAACTTAATATGTTTACTTTTATTCATATTAACAAATAGAGTAATGGAGAAATATTTAAAAGATTTCAATTTTCATATTAACGAATAAGGCAACGAGACTGAATTTGGTTGGCAAGATGGAGGAAATATTATACACACAGGATAGCATAGTATCTCCATAAAAAATTCTGGTTGGCTGGTGAGCAGCCAGGAAGGTTCCTTGTGTTTTCATTGTATATAAATATAAATAGATTGACTTTGACCAACTTGTTTATCAAGTAAGCAATCTCTTCCAGCAGTCTTATTTGACCCATTCAAACGTCAACATGAAAACGCAAGTTGTCACCAATCACATATTCAATGTAAACTTTCTATCGCTGTCCTCGCCTCTTTCTATGCCCTTCCCCTCCGGACTTATGGAGTCCTTTTTCCGATTCGGCCACAGCTTCATTTTGAATTAGGATTAAATTAAAATTAAATTATATTGTAGAATAAATTAAAATTGCATTGAAACTCTCTGTTTAAAATTTTGAACCGAAACCGACTATTTAAGTGCCGGTTAAGATTTATATGAATGTTAAAATATAAATTTTAATCGGCAGTTCTGGTCCGGTTCGAATAAAAAATTTTCTATTTTTATTTTCAAAATGACAATTACTTAGACTATTTTATATATCTCTAAAAGTTTCAATAATATTTTATTATATGATATACTTTATTTAAGATTTTTTTTAAATACACTTTGCTTTAAAAGTTAAAAATTTAAAAAGTAAAATGGTAAAAAAGGAGAGAAATATTCGGTCTAAACTTATATTGTTTTTAACTTTTTTTTTTATTCTTTAAATTATTTACTAAGTTTAAAATTACATTCTTTTAAAGTATTTTTCAAAATTTTCTTATAATTTATTTAAATAAAAACATTTAAACAAAATAAAGTGATAATTTATTTGATTATTTTATAAAATTAATTAATTTTATTCTTATATGAGCACGAGCATTCTAAATTTTTATTTAAAATAAACTTTACCAATATTTTTTAAACTCATATTAATTGTATTATGATGTAACCCATAGTCAAAACGTCAACATGAAAAACGCAAAGATTTGTCCACCAATCTATACATATATTCAATGATGAAAAATTCTATCTGCGACTTGGTTCCTATCGCCTCCTTTCTATAGCCCTTCCCCTCCGGAGCTTGTATGGAGATCCTTGTTTACCGATGTGCGGCAGTTCCACAATTTTTCATATTGAATTTGGAATTAAGAATAGGATAAAAAAATAATGAAAGATCACATAATAAATAGAAGAAATCTTTAGAAATACAAAATTAAAACTTGCCATTTGAAAGACAGATCTCTAGGTTTTAATAGAATTTATTGAACGAAACTCGACTTATCTATAAATATTTGTCTCTTTAATATGTATATTATAAGAATGTTACAATTATAAAAATTTATTTTAATCGGTTTCATTTCTTTGCATCAAAGGTATACTTGGTCCGGTTCGAATATAAGAGAATGTAGTTGTCGTATTTTTGCTTAAAAGTTATTTTCAAAATGACAATTACTGATAGGAACTATTTAATCAAATATCTTCATAAATATGTTGTCTCTACATTGATATGTAATGTTGGTGAGAGAGATATAAGGCTTTGATAATCAAGAGGTTAATTTTTTAAATACCTTTGCTTTAAAGTTAAAAATTAAAAAGTAAAATGGATAAAGAAAAGGGGAGAGAATATTAGGAGAAAGGTCCTAAAGCATGTATATTGGTTTTAATAAGTGATTTATTTTTAATTTTGTATAAGTATACATTTAAATTATTACTTTATAGTTTAAGTATTAATTTAAATTTCTTTATAAAGTAATTTTCCCAAAAATTTTCCTTTATATCGTATTTAAATAAAAATTTTTAAACAATAAAGTGATATTTATTTGATTAATTTTATAAAATTATTAATGTTTATTCTTTTATAAAACATGAGCACGAGGGAGCATTCTTAAAATGTCTTTTTGAATTATAAAATAAAACTTAACCAATATATATTTTAATCACAACCCATATTAAAGTATATATTCTAAAAGAAAAAATTTCAAACCTTTGTGAAGATTTGATTTGTTTATAAATTAATTAATTTTATTCTTATATGAGCACGAGCATTCTAAATTTTTATTTAAAATAAACTTTACCAATATTTTTTAAACTCATATTAATATTTTTAAAAGAAAAATGTAACGTTGGAACTGATTTTTTTTTTTAAAAAAAAAAAAACATATTTCGCCAGAAAATCGTGATTAGAACTGTCGGTTCGTCGGAACCGGACCGGAACTGGCCAAAACCTGTGGTTCAAATTCAACATTTTAAAATTTTTGAACCATCGATTCCGTAAGCTGAAACCGGCGGTTCAATGAACCGGCCATGCCTACTCACTTCTAGAACTCATATATATAATTCTTTTGTTAATATCATTTTTTTAGTAATTTTGGAAATGAAAAGTATTAATTAAATTTATTCTAATTTGGTTTCCAAATATACTAATTCAACTCAAACTTAAGCATTTAATTTAGAAAATCAAATTAAATTCAAGTATTAAAAGTTCAATTTACTTCTTTAATATTATCCATATTTTTATATAATTTAAGTATTATTTATTTACAAAACGAAATATTTAAAAATCCTTTAATATAAATTTAAGCAAAATGAAATTTAAAATAATTTTGTAAAATCTCAAGATATCTATGAGTTGAATGTATTGACTTGACTCAATTTAATTATATCTCTAACCCTCAAAATGGTTTTTGCAATATTTAGAACATGAATCTCCTAATTCATATTATAAAAATTAATTATTGCTCATCCACAAGACATCTACTCCAAATAAATTTTAATTTAAATCCATTAACAAAATTCATATTATAAAAATTAATTATTGCTCATCCACAAGACATCTACTCCAAATAAATTTTAATTTAAATCCATTAACAAAATTCATATTATAAAAATTAATTATTGCTCATCCACAAGACATCTACTCCAAATAAATTTTAATTTAAATCCATTAACAAAATTCATATTATAAAAATTAATTATTGCTCATCCACAAGACATCTACTCCAAATAAATTTTAATTTAAATCCATTAACAAAATTAATTTCAAAATATTACAAAAATGAAAAGCCCTTTTATAAAAAATATGCACAAAAGAAACAAATATATTGCAAATTTGATCCAAATCAATCCTTAACCTCATTCTTCTTCTTCTTCTTCTTCAAATCTCAACATAGCAATGACTCGAGGAACATTTCATCTCTTGGTTCTTCTTTAGTTCTGGAAAAAACATTGTCAGTTGATGTTTGATTTAAGTAAGAACCCATCTGATTTCCAAAACTTGAGAATCCATAGCTTGATTGGTTCTGAAACATCTCTAGTGAATAGGGTGCTTCACCTTCTGATGTCACCCCCAGCAAGTTGTTAGAACGATGGTTCACAGCGGATGGCCTTATTGCCATAGCTGCATTGTTGTTACCGTTGTTGCTCTCTGGCAATGGCCTATTGCTTCCACCGCTGCCGCGAGCAGCCGGAACATCATGGTCATGCTTTCCTTCATAGGTTGTGATCACTGCTCTAAGATCATGGGATGCTCTTTCAACATGTTTTCTTACAGGACATCCTGGATGTGTACATTTGTAGTAGCTCCTGTATGCAATAATTACAACATAATTTAGAAACTTGGCCTAAAATAAAAAGAACTGGAGTGATTTTGAAGTTGAAAAATCGTTGCAAGGTTATAAAAAGGAAATTAAAAAAAAGTAATTGAGCTTTTTGTTTTCTCTTTTCTACCTAGGATTTGGATTTCCCTTAACCACTTTCTGCCCATATTTTCTCCATCTGTAACCATCATCAAGAATGTCAATGTCACTTGTAGTTTGAACCACAACTCTAGGTTCTCTCACTGTTCTGCTTCCAGGTGCTGAAATTCCTTCATTTTCAGTCTCTGTTTTCCTGAAAATGAACCACCAGTAAAGAAAATTAATATCACATTTACTAAACAAACTGGTCCAGTTTCTAATTTATTTTAAAAAAAATTACCATCTTTTGGCTTCTGGTTCATCTTCATCAAACTCCTCACTTCTGGATTTACTCTTTTGTGAATCAAAATCATCATCTCCTACTGATATTGAGGAATTATCAGTTGTAGCAGCGGAGTCCATCTGTCCACTTCCATGGGTAACAAATGATTGATCTTGAAGATCATTTGTTACATGATTAGGAGCTTGAATTGCCAGATTGGTAGCTGAAGATGAAGAAGATGATGATCTTCTTGTAGATTGAGGCTTAGGATGATTATGGCTACCTTTGTAAACAATTTCAGTTATTTGTCCATCTAAAGACTTCTCTACCTTCTTTTTTGTTGGACAATTAGGGTAAGTGCACTTGTAATAACTTCTAGGATTTTCACTTCCTTTAACTTGTTTTTGACCATATTTTCTCCAATTATATCCATCTTCTGATCTTTTTTGTTCTCTAATTGACTGATACTGCTGTTGCTGTTGCTGTTGCTGTTGCTGTTGCTGGCCACCATAATCTGATTGGAAGCCATTGCTCCTTTGACTTTTTGTTTGAATTGCAGCAATTTCATTGGAGAAGCTCTGTTTTTCAGATTCTTGAAAACCCCATCCCTGTTTTTGTGCCTGAAAATTTACCAAAATCTTCAAAATCCATCAAAATAACCAAAAGCAGAGGAATTTGACAATAGAGAGAAAATCACGACTTACAGTTAGAATTGTTGTGTTTAAGGAGGTTGTGTTGGGTCTTGTTGGAGGCTGGAAAGAGAAATCAGAATAATTATGATCTTCTTGCTTCACATTTTGCTGATTATCAACAGAATTTGTTTTCCAATTAGCAAACTGAGTTGGAAATGTCCCAGTAGTTGGAGATGGAAAAATCTGGACAAAATAAGAAAATAATAAAAAAAAAACCATTTTCCTGATAATTCTCGTAAAGCAGGAAACATGTTTGTACACTTTTAAACCATATCCAAAAAAGAAGGAAACAACTTTATTTCCTAAAGGACCAAACAGAACATAAAAAAAAAAAAAACACAACACGAACATAAAAAAAAAAAACAGAGCGCGTGTAAGTTTATAAAAGACAAGACCAATCAAGCCATTTAACCTAATTATTTTCTTAAAATTAAGCGCAGACAAATGAATCTTTTTTGTTTCCTAAAAGAACCAAACACAGCATGCATAAAGAGAGCAATACAAGAAACAGAGCTTATATATATATATATATATAATATATATATATATATATATATATAACTTACGTTTGAAGAGTTCAACAAGACTGGAGAGTCAAGAAGCTCAGTTGGGCTCAAACCAGGAGGAATAGCGAAGTAAGAAGAAGGAGAAACAGGAGGAGGAGAAAGAGGCAAAGAAGGAGGAGGAATAGACTTAAATTTAGGGATACCGGACCCAGTTCTCTCTGCTATTCTATCAGATAAGCCACGCCTGACATTCTGAGTAGTATTTGGTTGGTCATCGCCGGATGCAAGAAGATCAGAGAAAGAAGTGGTCATGAAGGCAGAGGAGAAACTGAAACTTGATGGATGAGAATTTATGGAAGTGTCTAAGCTACCTGAAGAAGAACCCATGAAATAAAAGAAGAAGAAAGTTTGAGATCTTGTTTTGTTTTTAAAAAGAAAAAACAGAGATGAGTAATGAGAAATGATGGATTGGAGAGTTGAAGAAGAAGAAGGCAAAATGGTCACGTATTGAACAAGGCTTGCTTTGCTATTGGATTTGAGGCTTCCTGGAAGGTCACATTAAGAGGTTTGACCGTTGAACAAATAATGTGTACACTATACAGTAAACATATACGAAATGGAAGTGTTTATTTGTTTGTATATACGTTTGGATTGTACAATTTTTGGTCAAAACGTGTAGGTTTGACTGCATGGCGGCTGACACTAAGATATTATTCTTTTTTCACTTTTTTTGGTTTTTCGGTCCTTCAGCTTCCATATCTGTTTATTTAATGGGCTACTAAAAAAAAAAGCATGAAACTGAACTACTCTTAGATGTTTTACTCATGTAGCAAATTTGATTAGTTATATTTTGAATATAATATTTTATATAATAAATAAATTTTATTATTAATAAAAATATATTTATTTATTTTTTATATTCTATTGATTGAATTTTGATAAAAGATAAAGTCTCCGAGATAATACTGTTTTGAAAAGTAAATTGTAATATTATTATAATTATTAGTTTTATTTTGCATTAAAGCAATGTCTCCAAATGTTTTCTAGTCAATATTCTTTTCATTATTGAACGATCATTAGAGCTGTTGAAACTAATACATATTATGTTCTTTCCTTAAGAAAATAATTGTTCTAATAAGCTGAGATATATGTGATATCTATAACTAATATGCATGTGTTTGTTATTTGAACAAGTATACTGAATTGACTTGCATAAGAATTCATATAGAGAGTTACATGTATCCATAGAATACTCAAGTAATAGTTGTGTAAGTGATCCTTTGACTTGAAATTACTAAGTTATTTTGTATGAGGATGATTATGTTTTGATTCTCGTTCACATTATTCATTTATGAAAAATAAGTAATGATTAATTGACCATAGTAGGAATTTTACGAAGATACTTGTATAATTAAGAGAGGATTCACTACCCTAGGTAAATCAGGAAAAATGTTATAATTGTTTTCTATTAGTATTGATTAAGAAATTCTTGCACAAGGTATAATGAAATTAGCAAATTAGATTTGAAATTTCATTTAAATGATCAATGACTAAGATTAAAAAGAGCTAAGATGATTTAGTAAAGCAGACACACTTCATGCCTAATTACTAAATTAAAACTTTAATGATAAAGGGATATTAATTATATTGATAAATCATGCACTGAACGATTAAATCAAACTACTTTGATTTTCCAAATATTTGGTTAGTTATAACATGTTGTTAGACAATGTACTTGACCTTTAAATATTAAATAATTTATTTAATTTATATTTATTGCCAACATATTTATTTGGAACATAGAAGGTCACACACATAAGAATGGATATGAGAAAGTGAAAACGAAAAATCGAATCATGTATGACTTGATTACAAATAAGTTTAAGATATTAAGCGCAAAATTATAATTTATATTTAATTACAATTTTACCTAAATTATTAAATATTGACTTAATTGATTTATGTCCAAAATTTATTGAGATAAATTTTAGATTAAATAAATCTAATATAAATTTAATTATAGTTTATTTATTTAAATAGTTAAATAAAAAAAAGATTAATAAATCTAAATTAAATTTTAAATTATAGTTTTATTATTTAATATAATAAATAAATATAATTGATTAAATTGAAATCCTATTGATATATGTATTATGAGTTATTTATTTAAATTTATTTATTTAAATTATTTAAATAAATAAATAGGCACATATATATTTTAGTTATAATTTATTTATTTAAAAGGTCTAAATAAATAATTATAATTAATTTACTTATGACTTAGGGTTTTCATATATAAGATTTAAGAGACGGTCTAATAACTATTGTTGTTCATAGCCACAAAATTAAATATAGAACGTAAGATAGTTAGCATCATTATACACTCTAATCTCTCAACCCTCTAAAATAGTTTTAAAGTTTTTTAATTGTCTATTCGTGTGGATACTACTAAAGGTCGGACACTTAGCTTGTGGTTATGACAACCTAGCCGCGTAAATCGAAGTTTCCAAGAATCTGTAAAAGAGGTGTTATTCTAAATAATTTTATTGTTTTAATCGTTTAGACGGATCCCTATTGGGATATTTATTTTATTATAATTATCTTATTGCGCTGCGTACTATTGATATTGAAACCCAATAGAGGCTGAGTAACCAGGGTCAGCAAACTTTAGAAAAAATTGAAAATCGAATATTTTTGTTTTTTGATTCGGTTGTTCAGTTTTTAGTTTCAATTTATGTTTTTAATCTTCTCTTAACTTTAGTTTTAAATCTTTGGATTAGTTATTGCAAAGGTATTATTTTCTAAGCAAAACTGAACCGACTCGATTCGAGTTTTCAAAATTACTTTAATATGGTTCAATTTTAATAAAAAAATTAATCTTTTTTTATTCACAATTGAACCACCCATGTAATACCCTGAATTTTTATTTTCAAAATTTTTAAATTTTTATTAAATAAAAAAATTAGAAATTTTGATCGTGCGGGCTGCAAGTATAAACAAGTAAATAAGAAACATGTCCCTCAATTCAAACCTAAATTGCGAGTTGGGCCAAGCCCAAAATTATATTATTGAAATTTTCGATTTGAGAACACTTAAAACTTTCGAGAAAGGATATAGAAACTCCAAGCTATTGAATATATTAGAATATTATATTGTTATGTGCAATACTATATAAATTAATTATCCTCCGAATGTCATTACTATTAATATTTTTATTATTATTGAGTAAAAATGAAGAAATGTTAAGGAACCTAACTAGAATAATTAAAATAAATCAAACCGGACCCAAAAATAAATTGATTTAAAAAAAAACATAGGAAAAACCCAAAAACCAAGCGAATCGAGCCAAATTATTATTATTGGACGAGGTTAGTTATTTTGGATTTGCCCAAAGGATGCGCTTTGAAAATGTACTGTTGAATTGAGGTTTAGTCAAATTTTAGGGAAGGTGCTGCCGAAATTTCGATAGAACCTAGACTATTCATAATTAATAACATAATTAATAAGTTTAGTTAGATTAATTCTATAACTTGATACATAATAAATAAAGTGCTCTAATTATTTTATTATTATCATTATTATTCATTTAGTTATTCAATTATTTATTTATTTTCATTAATATTGTTGATTATTATTATTTATTTATTTTATCATTGCTGTTTATTGTTAATACTATTTATTTATTTTATTTGCATTTGAGTATGGATGTCTAATTGTGCATTACATTACGATGTTAATTGATCAATATGTCTGTAGTTAATTGCAATGCTTGATTAGTTGTGATGTGACAATGTTTTGCCATGTTAATTGATCAATATGTCTGCATTTAATTGCAATGCTTGATTAGTTGTGATGTGACAATGTTTTGCCATGTTTGTGTGGAGTTGGAATGAAGTGAGTCACTATGGGTTTGTGAGGGCGGTTTACGAGGCCGTTGGCTGTATGGGAGATCGACGCCCCATGTGCGCCTGATGATATGATATGGATAATATGGATAAACCACAGGGTGGCCTCCAGTTGGTATGGCAAAGAAAAGAGAGAATGGAAAAATAATGAGAGGGCTAGTCAAGTGAGGATTAGACCGGTTGGCCGTATAGGGGATCGGCTCCCTGGTGCACACGTTATGAGAGGGTGGGCCATGTGTGAGGACGGCTCATTGGGGGTTTCGGTGATGCCACGGTTTCGATGACACCATAGACCAATTTCCATGTGATGTGATTATGTGAAGTTGTTAATAAGTGTGAGTGCTGTTGTTATGCCATTTGTGTGACTGTCTGTGCGAGCATATAACTAGTCGGATGACTCGAATGATATATTTACACCTTTGTGTGAATGCGTGTGCCGTGCAATGATTATTATTTCTTATAAACTCACATGACTTATTTAACTTTTCAGGTAGTAGGTTCCTCTTCATTTTGGTCTACGCTCTATGCCTTTTTATCGCAGAGCTAGAAAGAAATTTTCCTAGTTTCAGTAACTAAATTGCTATATAACTATATGGGCAAGAATATAATTGTATTTATCTAATAGTAAACTCCGCAGTTGTAGAATTTATATACATTTAGTCGTGTATTAACATAGATGAAATAATTCTGTGAGCTCATATTGGAAATAGTTGTAGAATTTATATACATTTAGTCGTGTATTAACATAGATGAAATAATTCTGTGAGCTCATATTGGAAATGTGATGTATTGTAAATTGGGCTCGAACTATGGAATGTTGAAGATGATAAATTTTGGCCGAGGTATAATAAAATCTTAAGGTTTACTTTTTCCTAGAATATGGGCTGAATGTTTGAAAATTTTATTGAGATAGTAGATTTTAGTGTGTCAGGCTTACTACGGGCCTCGGGGGTTTTAAGTTTACCTGGGCCCTAGTGCCGGTCTGGCCCATAGAAACGGATCGTGATAAAGTTGGTATCAGAGCCTGGTTAGGGTTCTAGGACACAACTGCAGAGTATAGGAAATTTCTTTACGTTGGGATCGGCCATGACCAACATAAGGAAAGAAACTTTGTGATTTTCCTCCCTAGGGATGGTTGACGCACTAGACCCTATGAGTTGGAAAAACCTACACCTATTGTAAAAATCAATAAACTATAGAAGAATTAATTAAGGGTTCAAGTGGAAATAGTGGACAATAGGATAAATCCATCAGAATACCTACAGGTGCTAAAGTAGGTATCAAGCCTTAGGCTAGGGAATAGATTAATACCTGGACAGTAATGGATTGGCTTGATCAACCAATCCACTACTTTTCACGTGAACTCTATTCCTGTCAGTGAGTAGGATTGAGTAGAGTATAAATAGGATTTTCGTTTGTATGGCAGAATTGTGAATATGGATACTTATGGCATTGGTACTAAATAAATTCCTAGTCTTACATAAGTAAGCTATCACCAAAGTGAAATAATTATGCAATTGATTGTAGTTACTTTGGAGTTGCTAGAATAAATAAGTTGTATGAGATACCCTTAAGTTTTTCTGTTACATGTATATTACTTTGGATTAAGAA